TACCTCAGTGTTTGTGATTTTGTCCTGCCACTTAATGCTAAGTATTCTACTTAGGCATCGCATGTGAAAGATATTAGGCCGTCTCTCCTGGTGCAGATAGGTTGACTAAGTTTCACTGCCATAAAATAGAGTGCTGAGAACACAAGCCTGATAGACAAGGGTTTTTGTTTTAATTGTGAGCTTTCTGTTTTCTCAAACTCTCTTTGTCAATCTGCTCATTGTTGTTGCTGCCTTACCTATGCTGATGTTAATTTATTGGTCCAGCGATAGTTTACTATTTACTGTGGAACCCAGATAGGTAAAATGGTCTACTATCTCAAGCTCAAGCTCTTCACCGTCAATGTAGACTGTAGGACTGTCATTAACACCTTGCACCATAACCTTTGTCTTCCTTTTGCTGATTTTTAGTCCAAATTCACAGCACGCATCAGCAAAGGCAGATACTAAACATTGCAGCTCCTCCTCTGAGTGGGTGGTTATTGCGGCATCATCTGCAAACTGAAAAGTACCTGTCAGTTCCTGATGCGAGCATTGTCAAGGCTGCCGTCAGATCGAGAATGAATGAATAACACCTTATTTGCTGGTGGCTGCCCAGTTTGAGGCGAGCGGTAGTTGATCAGTGACATTCGAAAATATCTCCCACCGTCAGAGGCAACAGTGGCGCCCTCGTCTACGCCAACCGACAAGGACATTTAACCCGTAACTGCTGCCTCTCGCTTTGTTCCCGAGACCAATTAGGGCCAGGGATGAAGTTCCTCCTCTCATAGCACAAAGCCTGGCCAGTGTTGTAGAGACCATATGTTGCCCCTGCATAATGATCACTCTCTCGACCTGGTTTAGAATACACAATACTCATATACTGGTAATTACACAGAATAGGTAGATGAGTACAGATGCACATAACAGAAGACTAGTATCCATCTTGTTATCTAAGCTCAATCATTTGATTATTTATTTTTTATTTTTTTATTTTTAAATTTAACAATGATACAACACCGGTAGGACGATTACATTTTTGACACAATTATTAATAAAGCTAGCTACGAACGCTTTTAAACTTGATATAGTTGTATAAAAACATAATTTCATTTATTACATATCATAATTATATATTTACGTAGGCCACAGTTGAATCAACAACACTGGTTTTATTAGTTACACACTATCGTTTAGTGTACACAAATGCATATTAAAATATGTGCCGTGCCGTGAAGAGAGCGACGTTTTGTAAATGACTTGCAGATTGATGATGACATTAAAGTATTCATAATTACATATATTAGACGAGGGATCACTTGTCTGCTATGGTAATGGGGACAGTGGTTTGTTTAGGGGTTTAGTATTGACTAGGATGGTCAGTGCATTATGTTGCTGGTGTTCCTCGCACTGGAGAAACCAGCGCTGCATTCAGGAGAAGGCAATAATCTCTGTTCTGCATGCAATAAATCGTTTTCAATTGGGGCGAAGAAGCTTTTCTTTTGCCCACCCCCTCATACACATGTGTGCTAGTTGATTTGCTTAATCTTCGATGCATCCTGTACAGAACGCCCAATCATTATACAAAATTGTTCCAGGTTTTTTTTTTTATTGCCCCCTCTGTAACTTGGAAAGGGGGGGGTGTGGGGGGATGGTCAATCAAACTTGCGGACCAGCCGCTGTATCCGTTGCAAACAATGTCTATTATTTCCTCATGTTTTATATGTTGGTGCATTACAGTCGGCAATTTCTTATAAACCACCTCCTAGATGGTGCTTGTCAAGCAGAAAATGGGTCCATTGTCTGTGCAGCCCAAAAAGTGTTCGTGATGAAACGTTTTGAGCTATCCCCGGTTTTGCTTTATGCTTTCCTTTAGCCATATCTAAAAAATATATATCTTGGTAACTATTTTAGGCTGGGTCGACCTGCGACGCCCCACACCTTGATAGAAATCAACGCAGCAAACAGTGGGTTTCGATCGTTGTACGTTGGAATTACGAGTCGGACTCGCAACGCCTAAGCCACGCACGCCGCATATATATATATATTCTCCCCCTTCTTCTTTTTCACTATATATATATATATATATATATATATATATATATATATATATATATATATATATATTCTCTTCCATATTCTCCTCCTCCTTCTTTTTCACTATATATATATGTATATTTACATTTTATCCTCCTTCTTTTTCACTATATATATATATATATATTCTCCTCCTCCTTCTTCTTCACTCATCATCATCATGTAGCAGGCCCTTTGCTGAACGTCGCTCTCATCACATTCTGCCTGAAAGAAACTTGGTCTCTCGCCAGTTCTCCTGCCTCATATACTTTCATACTCAAGGAGTCCTGTGCCCATCTTTGTGTCGGTCGGCATCAAAAGTCGTGGTGGCTTGGAAAAAGCGGTGATAGGGGGTGCAGTTTGCGGAAAACCAGGCAGGGGTCAACCTCCGCGAAAATGGATGGATACAAGACATCGAAGAAGCATTTTTATTAAACGCCCATGGGGCTGGAGGGCTAGCTAGGGAAAGGGATACTTTCAAGAGAGCGACGTCTTGTAAAGTACATGCCGATTGATGATGATGATAGTCCTGAAAGTGGCGTTCTGTAAAGGACTGGTGAGATGACGATGCTGAATATCGAAAATCTACAAAATGGGCCGAATATTGGACGAAAGGCGTATACTGACGACAAGATTTTCTGGGAGTAAAGGTTGCCTGCGCTGGTCACAGCACCCCTTTCTAGTGCCGATTGGTCTATAAAGAATGTCGGTACAGTCCTGGGAAATAAAGATTTTCGACGTTATGTCGATCATTTAATTCAGTAGTGAAACATAAAAAATTAATTTAATACTTCACTAACTAGGAGCTCATACCAGTTATTCCGCTAAACAGAGGTGCTTTCTCCTTATCTCCATTTAAAAAATCTTGGCTATATCAGTTCGATTTTGGTCTGCCAGTAATTTTCATTTTTTTGTCAGTCCATCTTGAGTTATTGATGGGTACTTAGTTAGTTAGTTAGTTAGTTAGTTAGCTGGGTTATCCTCATTGCACTCCGGACATGTCCATAGGTGCTCAGATCCTCCCCTCAGTATGAACCCCAACGTCCGATGGCTAATAGTACCAGTTCTATGTTGATTAACAAGTCTTCTGGCGTAGCTGGTGTGCGTCTCGTTTTTTGCTGTGCCGATCTTAATTTCCAAGTCTGCCATTCTGGCGAGTGATGTGGATTCACTGCCACCAAAGTCCTCTATCCTTCCCATTTCTCTGAGGGCATTGATAATATCAGCATGATCCATAGGCTGACCGTCGGTAGTGATAGCGGATCCAGCCAACCTGTCAGCTCTTTCATTTCCATCGACGCCTGCGTGTCCCGGAATATTGATAGGTACTTACAGAGCAAGCTGAACTTCTCGTGAATGTTTACTGCAGCATGGAAATGAACAGTCAGAACATCAGTAATATTATCCACTATTACATAGAAGACACATTGCTTACATGGGTAGAATTACACATAAGGCAAATACAGACACCGAAGAAATCATTGAACTTCTAGAAGATAACCTGTGTCTAATACACAACCCCAAAAACAAATATATTGACAGTCCTCGCGCCTTCTCCTTCTTCTTTTTTCTTCTTCTTCTTCTTCTTCTTCTTCTTCTTCTTCTTCTTCTTCTTCTTCTTCTTCTTCTTCTTCTTCTTCTTCTTCTTCTTCTTCTTCTTCTTCTTCTTCTTCTTCTTCTTCTTCTTCCTCCTCCTCTTCTTCTTCTTCTTCTGTTCTTCTTCTTCTTCTCTTCTTCTTCTTCTGTTCTTCTTCTTCTTCTCTTCTTCTTCTTCTTCTTCTTCTTCTTCTTCTTCTTCTTCTTCTTCTTCTTCTTCTTCTTCTTCTTCGTCTTCTTTTTCTTCTTTTTCTTCTTTTTCTTCTTCTTCTTCTTCTTCTTCTTCTTCTTCTTCTTCTTCTTCTTCTTCTTCTTCTTCTTCTTCTTCTTCTTCTTCTTCTTCTTCTTCTTCTTCTTCTTCTTCTTCTTCTTCTTCTTCACGTTCACCAGCTGTAAACTGAGACGGAAAGTTCCGAGTGTCGTCTGCCGCCTGTCTATAGTCTTGTTCCAGAACCTGAGTGCTGTGTGCACATCTGTTTGACAAATCTGGCTTTTCTGGACTTCCTACATCAAACCTGCACAACGCATGAATTGAAAATAAACGCTGCGAAAACTTTGGCAATGAGAATAGGGCGAAAACATAATAACACGAATGTTCATGCTAATCAGACTACATCACTACAATCAAACACGTACGAAAATTCAAATATACAGAAAACATATTTACAGTAGAAGGCCTACCCGACAGAGACACAGATGTCAGAGTACTAAATGTCAAATGCTGACATCTACTAGTTAAGTCCACAGCTCCCTTCCAGCTAAATAACAAATAATTTATAGCTTCTCCATCCCTACTTTGACTTATCAGTGCCGAACATGGACAATGAAAAAGGCACTAGAACATAAAGTTAACCTTTGAAATGCTCTCCCGTGTATGGTCATTAAAAACAAAAGAATTGAAACAATAACAAATGAAGAGAGCATTAAAGAGAAAGTTAAAATAAGGCCGTGTCTGAATTACAATGACTGGCAAAGAATGAAATGCAAGAATGCAGCCAGGCCAAACTGTATACCGGAGTTTAGCTACATTTGGGAGAAGGGCGAGAGGAAAACCAAAAAAAAAAAGATGTGGATAAATAATGTAGCTGACACCTGCCAAAAGATCAACAAGTTCATGTTGTCTACTCTGTCTATCTATCTTTCTGCTTCTTTTTATAAGTGCCCATGAATACACTGTTTGTTTTTATACATAATGTTTATACGGCTTCTGTTTATTTATGTCCTCTCTGGATTCCTAACTCTAGAACTGGAAGTATGACGACGATTATATGGTGACGATAATAATGTTTATAATGATATTGATGGTCACTGTGGCTGTGTTATAGATTACTTTACTAATCTTTACTAACCAATCATCGTGATTTCGAAATGTCAGTTGGCGCATAGCAAGCATCTTTATGTGACCACTCTTTGATATCCGGTATCACTTTTGCTCTGTTGTCAGTGTGGACTTTTTCACAAATATCACACCAATCGAATTTATAATTTAGAGTCGTCAACTTATCTTTTTCTTTCAGCATTCTAGCGTATCTCACGTGATCTTGTCCTAGCTCTTTTAGATACAGGGACAGGTCTTTCGCTGAGGAGAAATTCGCCGTGTTGATGAAAGCCCCGATAGGAATGTATTTGCTGTAATCGAACCCACCCCTTACAACAGGGATGATATGAGAACGATACTTAATGTTTCTGAAGAACTTTTCTGTAATGTAATCCTTGCAGAGGGAGTTTTCGAAGCTGAGGTAGAACTTGTAGGTTAAGGTCAGTTTAGTCTCGCACTGACTTTCTTCAGCCCGTTTACATGACCGCATGCCGCAGTTACCGTATATATCCACATCGATGTACTTCTGTAGCAAATAGAATACAGCTGTTATAGACATGATATGTGCACAGGTATTATTAAAGGCACAATACACACCATTTAAGACCGTTTGAACATTTGAGGGGAAAACTTCTAGTCAAAATGGAGGGTGGGCAGGGTCACTGTTTTTAGTCGTAGCAAATGTTTGTTTCTGACAGATGGTGACCGTTGCGTTTTCCTTAATTTATAGACTAAATGGATATAGTTTTGTCGCCCAGCTACTTGGTTAAAAGCATAGCGCGACACTGTGAGCTGCGAATTTAATCTGAATTGTTTTTAGACTGTGACTGACCAGCGTGGTGTTGTGAACTGTATGTTTAAAAAATGGTCAGCGGTCTTTTGCCGCAAAACTGGTGGTGCCTTATATGGTCAAAATTATTCGCGTGTACAGCTGTTGATCTGTTTGTAACTGCTACTTCCGTCGACGATCAACTGCATTTCTAATGCTCGGCCCTTCTCCGCAGAACAGTCGGCCGCCTGCAGAGAAGGCCACACAAAACCCGAACTCCCTCACTCTAATGTTATTTCGCCGGTCCACACGTAAACCGGCTACTCGCCATACTAAATACCACAACACACCCGCAGCACACAAAAAGGCATTTAACATGAAAAACGCAACTCACAGTGCTGTATCAAGCCCTTAACCCAGTAGCTTAGGCAGCGAAACCGTAGACTTTGGTCCAAATGCGGAAATTGCCTTAGAAAAGCCCTCTCACAAGCAAAAATAACTAAACATTCTGTTGTGCCTGTCCTCCAATTGTCTTCGAGGGCCAATCAACACATGTCAGTAAGTTTTGTCATGATTTTTCAAGAGCCTCAAGGATTCGCCATAAATTCCTTAACGTGTGTTATGTAAAGCACAGTGGAACGAATCGCTTTCTTCTGAGGTTAGGTATAAAAAAGAAACGATGGTTCAAATATGTGAAAATATTAATGCACAACTTTTGGCCAAGAGAAACAGATATAATCTATTTTATGCAAACGAAATAAAAAGAAGAAGAAATATATATGAAAGTTACCTTCATCTCTTTGACATAAATCTCTCGCTTTGACTGAGTTGCACAGTGACTGACAAACCAGGCCACACTTCTAGTTTTGTTCTTAGCAATTTCCACTGAAAGTGTAAGACAACAACACATTTATGTCAGTAAAGTATAGGATCTTTCTCTCTTACCGTTGGCGGGTCTAACATCTAGTTCTAGACGCATATGTTTATAGACCTTCGGTAGTCGATGGGTTATGTCTGTGGACTATTTAACTGGCGGCCCGCGGTACAAATCTGGTCCACGAAGGCCGAGGAAATGACCCGCGGGTCACTGTCAGTGCACTGTGTTAATGGTCTTTCTTTGCTGGAGCTCGGGCCACTGACCCGTGACCATCCCCATTTTCAAAATGTATGCCCCAGAATAAATTTAGTTGAATGACCCTGCCTGTTATGCAGCCAAATTCACGCATGCTGCCTTTTCTTCCATGAAATTTCCTGATATCTATAGTTTTATTTTATGTTGGGTCCACTGGGGGAGCCCAAGCCTCCAGGTACCGGCACCCCTGTATAGAAGCGCTACTAAACGTAGTCAGGTCCTGGAGAAGTCCAGGCAAAGCGATCGTTGCAATTAATATTCAAACAAATCTGACAATAAAACTACAGGAATTTGCAATTCGGGTGTGTGAGCACGCACGCTTGCGCGCGCGCGCGCGTGTGTGTGTGTGTGTGTGTGTGTGTTTGGGGGTTGGTGGGGGAAGGGTTTATTTTTTGTTTCCTACTTTGCCTGTTTGGGGCATATCAGGTTCGATATTTGTTAAAAATGTATGTAAAAAACTTTGCTTCTGCCTTCTTTTTGTGGTGTTTTGGAAATGTAACATTTGTTCATCAGAGGCAATGATGCTAATACTGCTTGTCTGCAAAATCATTGACGTCTATCTGTGCCTTTGACTCGGAAGAGGTCAACAAAGATAACGGGCACTGTCCTGACTCATTTTGACGCAGACAAGTGCGTAATCTAAACAAAGGTCGTATACCAAGAGAGCGTTGCCGTCTAAACGTATACCAAACTATACGTATACCAAAGCGAATGTATACCAAATTAAACGTAAATCAAAGCGAACTATACCGAGGCACACCTGCAACCTTCTTCTGTTACTGAATTTATAGTTAACACATCCATATCCATATACACATGTATCTCATTGGCTTTACTACGAACGGGTTCAGCTGACGGGCCGTGCTGCTGACGTCACCGGGTCGGGCTAAAGATGCGTTATCACGGCGGTTCTAAAACTGGATGCCGGGGCACCCCCGGAGTGACGTGAGCGTATGCTAGGGACGCCGCAGCGATTATCAAGAAAGTCGGCTAAAAATTATTGATCTATTAAAGAAGACACGTAGATACGTAAAAGTTAAAATTTAACTTGTCTTCCCTCGCCCCTGTCAAAAATAGTTTATTTCTTGCTTGAGAACCGCTGCGTTAACGCATTGTTAGCCCGACCTGGTGACGTCAGCAGCATGGCCCGTCAGCTGAAGCCGCTCGTGGCTTCGCACTCGTGTTTTCTTTCCGCATTTTCCCTTGAATCTAATAAATGGGGCGACTGTCTGAGCTATGTTAGATAAGAAGAGCAACTCGGATGTTTCAAAAGAGGCGAATGCTTATCACAAAACAACTTATCACAAACATCAGAAGGAGACAGTCATCATTTGTGTGCGCGTGTGTGTGTGTGCGTGCGTGTGTTTATGTGTGTGTATTATTATTATTTTTATGACTATTAATATTCCTATTTTAGCTCTTTAATTTATTGTTTCGTTCAGCATCCGGTTTTCCTAGTCCAAAATTTTAAAGTGATTCAGGTGAACCCCTGTGTGGCGACTGGTGGCCATGACACCCTGCCCAGTTTTGTTATGGTGATTGTGGTTTATCCAGAAAGACTCAGGCCGAATCGTCCCATTTTCTGGCGCGTGGACGTTGTTCTATCTCTCTCTCTCTCTCTCCCCCTCCCCCTTTTCTTATGATTAGCGTCTTAGTCGAAGTTCAATAGACTAATTTTCCGATTCTGAAACAAGCCCGTAGCCGACGTTGTGACCTCGGGGCCGGTCATCTCCCGGTCAATATTTATTTATTAAGAAATAATGATTACCTCGACACCAGAATGCTACTGTTGAAAATCGATACCTAATCAATGTTAATAAATACTGTGTGTTTGCAAAGCCTCTCTAAACTTTGCATGCAGAGCAAATTTGAAGGGAAACAAAAAAAACACATGACGTCATCTACAAAATGTGCTCAATAAAACATTAAATTAGTTACAATAGCTACTGCTATGGTCTAATACTGTTTTGGGGAATCTGGATAGTGCCACTGGATTATTAATGATAACAGGCAATTGAAATTTTCACTAAGGTTTTCAAGAGTGACTGTCAACAATGCTTCATATTGCCAAATACCATTAATCGGCACTTATAGAAAGAAGTAGAAAAAAAAGTAGAACACACTAGACAACTTAAAAATCGAAAGCTATAGTTACCGTGCCGGGAATTAATCCTGTCACCTCCATACGGCGTGTGCGCCTCGCTATGAATACAAGTGCGCTAAGAACATGGTCAACTAGGCACAGCCCAAAAAAGGTGTCTTATTGGCCATGTCTATCGTACAGTTGAAATCCACAACTATGGAATACGGACAGAATTCATTTCGAACCATTGAAATGGCACCATAGGTTACAGAAATGTATATTAACGAAGCAAATGTCGAATAACAATCACAGCAACAATTTACGAAAACTTTAGACCGTAATGCTTTGTCTAGAATACACACACATTTAAGAAAGGTATTTGATTGGTAGTTCCGGTGTGTATACGTCATTCCTATAAATAAACAGAGGGGGAACCTTTGAGGCCGTTAGATATTATGGATTAATCAAGTAACAGAAAGTGTATTGATCGGCACTCATAGAGAGAAGTAGAAAGATAGAAGAACACACTAGAGTTTCTACAGTACTGCCCAGGTTTTGTGCTGAAGAGGAGGAACTTATTTCTGGTCCTAATTCGTGTCTCGGAAACAGGACTGTCTTGTGTGTGTGTGTGTGGGGGGGGGGGCACACCAGGAAGAGAATAAAAATGAAGGATGAAATGATTGCAGAAAGGATGAGAGCTGAGCGTCTGAGAAGAAACAGGCTAAATACAAAGAATGGCAACACCGATTCTGAAATCCCATGCTATAACTGTGGAAGACTTTTCTCAATGCGGGCGGATCTTGCTAGTCACACTCGCCATCGCCATGGGCTGTGAGTCCCATGCCCCCTCATAGTACAATATAACCACTACCGTCTGAAATGATGGAAAGATGTTAACATAAATACCTCGGTAATCAACCGCTTTCAGAAAAGTCAAACTTGGTATACGTCCTATTTAAACACGACATATTTTGCTCGGTATGCAACCTGCGTTTAAATTACGACTCGAATGCTAGAACTTGTTCAACTATAACAGTGCTTGGAATTTTTCTTTTTGTCCTTCTCTTTTTAAACACATTTTGTTATGGTGGGGAAGGGTGCGGGGGTTGTGTCCTTCCTTCCTTATACTTGAGGGAGGCACTACCTAGGCTCAGACCACTGCTGTACTGAATGTTGTAAACCAAGCCTATAATTTGTCTCCTGTATGTTGTTCTGCCAGCCAGTTTTTCGTTCAGTATTTTCCTGCACAAAGAAGACGCAGACAACAGATTTCAAAATGTATTGTCAGGCACATTTCTCTGTATAAACTTGGGGGTATACTGAAGTAACAGTTTAAAAAAATTCCAATTGAAATACGCCAGACAATAAATTGTGCAATCTATTGTTTGCGTTGTGCGTGTGTGTATGTGTGTGTGTGTGTGTGTGTGCTTGCGTCCGTGCGTGCGTGTGTGTGTGTGTGTTGAGTATGAGTGTGTGTGTGTTTCAATGTTTTGATCACATTCACAACGCAGAAACATTGTTTTCAGTTCAGTAGTCTGGCATTGCTTCCTCGGCAGATGACGCTTCATAATCTTTGTTTATTACCTTGCCGACTGGTTGAGGCGATCATGCTTCACCACATCTTGCTTACACCGACAGCATTCGTCAGCTCACTTCTTCTCCACCCCCCCCCCCTACCCCCACTTTAGTCCTGAATGAATGAATCAATCAATCAAGAACTGGCATTAGTGCACTCAGGACACTCCTTCACTTTAACCGCCTCCTTGCCCGGCTCTCTAGCATAGTTGGCTAAACCGAATTGCGCGGTGACCGCGTGACGAACTCCTTGTGGTCCGGGTTCACTCCCGGGGGTAGGCACAAAAGCCACATTTCTCCCAGATGTACGGTATTTACAATGGAATCAATGCCGACAGGTTGCGATATCCATAAAACCGAGCCTAAGGGTTAACAACTCATGGCTTCTGGATACTAAAACAAACCAACAAACAACCGCCTCCTTCCTCAGTAGCCAAAGCAGAGTCGAGACACTATCAGTGCCAGTTGCAACCTCATTAAAATTCCGCCTGTTTCCCCTCAATGTTGAACATTTTTCTGACCTTTTACCAGTGTTGCCAATTTTCTTTGACAAAAAACATCAAAAAATAGAGTCAACAAATATCTAAAATCATCTAAATTTGCGTGGAAAACATCTAGAAAAAAACACATTCAAATTGAAAGAGTGACAAATTACATAGCAATTGATATGACTTACCCTATAGAATCATGTCCTCTTCTTTACTGAAGTCTGCCTTACAAGATCCACAGGATAAACTTAGCTTTAATGATGAAGTTGAAGCTTCAGATCTAAAATGACTGGTATGCTTTAGCTGTTCCAATTTCTTTTAATACCAAATCAGGGAGCTGATAAGTGGAACAGCCTTTTCCTACTCTTATCAGGCCGAATTTCATTGTCAAGATAGCATTTAGGAGGTCACATTTCATTCTGTTTCTTAGGTTAAATTGGATAAATTCACTCCACATGAAAAACAGAAAGACATCCACCATCTAAACGTCAACATTGCCATCTAAATGCGAGGGAAAACATCTAAATCTGGATGTACAACATCCAAAGTGGCAACATTGCCTTTTACACACCAGCTGTTGAACTAGCCTTTCGCTATACGAATTCTCTGTATGCCCTGTTGCACCATCCCCTTGATCCCAGAGGGCACTCTTGTCATTTTCTGCTTTACAGCGCTAGGTTCCGCGACATAAATCTTCTCGTGCTGTCTTTCTATTTCTCCCCTCTTCCTACAGTTGCCCCTAGTCGAGTGTTGGTGGAGGCTGCAAGGATAGAGTAACCATAATATCTTGAGCCGAAAACGGGATATCCAACTAAAATGATGAGCTGAAAACGGGATACCCAAGTCATATTTTGAGCTCAAAACGGGACACCCAAGTCATAATTTGAGCTGAAAACGGGACATCACAAGCAATTCAGTTTACCCGGTTTTTTTTTTTTTTTTCACCTTTCTCAGAGCATAAGAGTTTAGGCCCACATCACTTGCAGCCTTTCGAATGCCGCATGAGTTGGGACCCAAGCTTTTATAATGGAAAGGAGCCTGGCTCCTATAGGGGCCTGTCCCTCTCAGAGGGGCAGCACTATCTCTTCTACGCAATCCTAAACAGATAACAATCTTTCACATACCATCCTCATAATTTTTCTCATCTGCCATAAACGCATTACAGGTATCTAAGACTATGAAATCTATTGGATCTACAAATATCAGTAAGTGTGTGTTCAATTCTCAAAGTTATTCCTAGATTTTTTTTTTTATGTATACACGGTAACTCCCATTTTATTCATTTTTTTTAATTTTTTTGAAGACCGACATGACGACCGGGACACGCCGAAACCGAAAACGAACTGTCCCGGCAAAAACCGGACATATGGTAGCAAAACGTCAAGATCTTCCGTGGGCTTTTTCTAACTTGCTGTGTAAGCAGGTCTTCATTTTTTGTTCAACTGGCTCTGGATGGCGTCACTCCAACTTTTATATTGTCCACCTCTTGTGCTCTGATCACATTTCTTCAGGTCAGCTCTCTGGAATAGTTAGTACGAAGGCTTTTTTTTTTCATCAGACAGCTGAACTGTTTATCTCTTGCTCTTTAAATAATTGCATGAAATGATCATATCTTACAGCAGTAAGTATTTTTAAAAACATGAATTACAAGCAGCCTTCAAATGAAAATTTTAAAGCGTTATACGAAATACCGTTGTCTTGTAACCTGTCAATACTGTTGTTAAGGATGCCAAGATGTTAAGCACATGACATCACGTTGCAGAGGAACCCTGTGACGTCAAGATAATAGCTTAAAGATGGCCGTCTCACTTTTGACATGCACCGAAGAGGAGCAGCATTCTGTTACCAGGTTGTTGTGCCTGTGTGTATGTGTTTGTTGTAACTTTTTTGTTTGTTTTTGTAACTAGTGAAAGGGTAAAACCTGCATAACTCCAGCAACAAATGAAGGTCCAGTATGGCAAGCATTTCTGTCAGTCCAGCAAGTGTATGAGTGGATCAGCAAGTTTCAAAAATGCATGTGTTCAAAATAGCGTGACTCCTCTGAAAGACTGTTTACAGCACCGTTAGGCACATCGAGTAATTACTTCAAAATCGATTGTAGCCCTTGAAGGTATCCCACAGGAAAACACATTTTAAATAAAAAAGGAATAACGGAATGCTGCCCTTCTTTGATGCACATCAAAAGTGGGGTGGCCATCTTTAAAACGACATCATTATAAATAAAAACAAAACCCAAGCTGGTACACTCACAATAAACGGAGTCCGGTAAAAGGTCCGTGCGGTTCCTCCAAGCCAAACGATTGTTTGGCGCGAAGATATCAGAGTCAGTCCGGTAGTTGAATGTCCAGTTGAAGGCGCTCCTCCATGGCCCGTAGGGAGCTGTAGATGGAAGAATAAATATATCACTGTCGTTGAAGTGGCTTATTGCTATATTATGAAAGTAACGGATCACTTTTCCGCCTGGGTTAAAAACCAACAACATAAATTACCAAATTGCAACACTTTTGGGGCATCAAAGTATTACCATGCACACGCACACACACAGACACACACACACACACATACACACACACACACACAAATAGCTGATAAGTGCCTTATTCGTAACAATTTTGTGTTATCAATGTCTGACACAGACAGTGCTACAAAAATATATAAACGCAAAATCACATGTGAGATGAGATGTAAAGGAGGTACAACTCTTCCACATAACCCACGTTGTGCCGAATGGTCTGTAAAAATATGGGTGCTCTTCCCATATGCCCGATGCGCCTAAAGGCGTGAAAATTGACCTTTACTTTCACTATGCTTACTGCAAAAGTGACTATGTCGTTCTTCCGTAAGTTAACTCTTGCAGTACCAGGCAATATTTTCACAAAGCCGACATGCGTTAGAATACAGAGATGAGACTATGAGTTGAAACAAATATGAGACATAATTAGTAACAACCGGGGCAGAATTAGGTAATGTTGTACAGTAAAACTTGAGAGTCGCCGTGGCGGAGCGGCTAGACGCTCGCCGCGGATCGGAAGGTCGCGGGTTCGCTGACATTTTTTTTTTTTTAAAATGACCTTGGCTCCCAGGTTGACCCAGCCTTGAGTGGGTACCAGGTGCAGTCCCGGAAAGTAAAGGCGGCCGGCGTGATGCTGACCACATTACTCATCTTCTGCCGATTGGTCTATAAAATATAGGTTTAGCCCTATATGCCTAAATCCGTGGAAAAGAGTCCTTTACCTTTTTTTTTTTTTTACTTACAGTAAAACATAGATTAGCTGGGCACTCAGCAAATTGTATTAACAAACACAAACCCCAAAGACACAAGAAGGAGACGACAGATTGTTTTCAAGTAATGTAGGTTTACAGTATTACAATACATTTTTCTACATTACTACTTTCATACTGAAGGTAACTTTGATCGTTTTGTAAAATTAAATACAATATTTGTGTACTATTCAATTTTGCTGGCGTCTGTGGCAAAGGTGTTGCAAACGAGCTTCGTAATGCCGGTATGCAAGGTTCGATCCCTGCTGCGGACGATTTGAATTGCGCTGGTTTCGGCAGTGGTACCGAGAGCTGACCGTCTAGGAAGCAATGGCAAACTACTGAACGTTAACTACAACAGCCAATAAATGCTGAGGCTTGGTTCTGCAACGTCCTGCAAAGAATACGCAACTTTATTCAATTTTAAATTACATTATTTTCATTTTCGTCCTAGTGAAATCACGTTACTGTTCATATGTATTCAAAGTTTCTGTTATCCGTCACAGTCCTGATCCGGACGGTGACGGTTAATCCAAGTTTCACTGCACATGATTCTGACATGTTAAGATGTACACAGTAATCAATGAGTCGTTCGTTAGTTCACTGGTATTTCTAGAATGAATAGAACGAGCGGCACTCGATCTGTAACATCACGCCAGATCCTCTTTACATTACCAAATGCTGCTTGCTAGCCAGTTTTCTTTGATGTTTAGATCTTTTAGAATGTCAGTTTTTATTTTTCTTTCTTCATTGTATTCTGACAATCTTTCTTTAGCATTTCAACTCAAGCGCTCAATTTTGTGTCTGTTTTAAGTTTTTCCTGTTAGCACAGATAATAAGCATTATTATTATTATTATACTCCTAAGCTTGAATTAAGACCCTTAAGAGCCTCTTCCAAAATGTGTGTGTTTTTTTTTTCTCTCTAAATGTCAGCACCATTGCCTCTATTTTCTTCTTCCTTACGTCCTCTTTTACAGCTTCAGGTGTCGAGGGAAATATAATGTCCTGCTTCGTGCTTTTCTGACTGCTTCGACCAAAGACACATCATGATACTGTAGAGTCTCTCTGATGTTATCCTTCCATCTTGTTCTTGTTCGCTGCTTCTATCACACACAAATGGTAGCAAGAATAAATAAAGAACAGACTACACAATGTATTGGCCAATACATTTCATTGATTCTAAGTACTACACAATCGAGATGCTCTGTTTGAGAAAATTCCTGGGTACACTTCTCGTCACTTCACACAAAAGTCCTACTTACTCGGGTACCCATAATGTGCCGGAGATTCCCAGTAACATTTGACCCAGATCTGGCCAGGTGGTCTACGCGGGAGCACTGTCTGCCTTATGCCTCCTACGAAAAACAAAACCACATCAGCAATAGTCTTTCTGTTTTCGGTATCAAACGTGCACTCCCTGTAAGGACATACTTTGAAGTCTCTATTGTAACGATTCTCTGGTGCCTCGAGGAACCACTTTGGGCAGTTGAAGCAACTTATCACCTTTTCTTTTCTGGTCGAATTTCTTTTTCGATCTGTTTTGTATATTTTTGGAGTAGTGATATATGGCGATGTAAATAATTCATAATCTGAAGATTCGTGGCCAACTGCTTTCGTCTCCTTCCAAAGAAGGGATCCATTATTGTCACGACTGCTGTTAAATATTGGATCGTTGATAGAGAATACTAAGCCTTTAAATCTGGTCAGATGTCCAGCGATTTCTTACTTACTTACTTACTTAGTCGCTCCTCTTCTACCTTGGGGTGTAGAGGTTTGCCAGAGAGATCGCCAGACGTCTCTATCAGCAGTTTTCTTTCTGGCTTTGTTCCATTCCAGTCCTCTGTCAGTCAGGGACTGTCGGATGTTGTCTTCCCAGCGCACCCTGGGTCGTCCCGGAGGTCTGGTTCCCTGGTTCTTAGCCTCCCATGCTTGCCATGGTGGCCGATTTTCTCCCATTCTGCACACATGTCCAAACCATCGTAACTGTGACTGATCCACTCGGGTTAGTAAGGGCTGGGTATCAAGATCTTGACGTATTGTCTGATTGCGGACTTTGTCCCTTCTTGTCACTTGGACCACCTTTCTCGGTATCTCATTTCCGAGGCCTGCAGCTGGCTTCTGTGAGCTGTTGTCATTGCCCATGACTCACACCCATAGGTCAGGACTGGTACATAGGTAGAGCGGTAAAACAGCCATTTTCGTCCTCTTGCCAATTTCTCTTTTGCTAAGAAACCCTCGGTTTATGGCCTGGAAGAGTCTCCCAGCAGCTGCTTTTCGTGTAGCCAGCTCAGTCTTAATGCCTCCATTTTGGTCTAATACAACTCCAAGGTATTTGAACTGGTTAACCTGCTCCAACGCATACTGACCCATCATGATCTGGTGTTTCTTCTCCTCTCTTGAGATCACCATGGTTTTAGTTTTGGAGACACTGATGGTCATCCCTTTCTTTTCAAGCTCTTCCTTCCAGACAAGTAAGTTGTACTGAAGGTGTGCCTCTGATTTAGCTATCAGGGCCACATCGTCTGCAAAAGCCAGCTCTGATATACAGATTGGTCTCATCTTCCAGTACCCTACAGAGTACAGCGATTTCGGGCATACTAATTCTAAACGAAAGGACATTCAAATATGCCAACGTTATGAATGAAACTGTCAGTAGTGCACACAGGGCTTTCTTCCAGGAACAGAAAGAGAACTGTTCCTTGAACAGAATCATTTTCAAGAGAGCACGATGTACAACGCTTCATTTGTATCCACGTGCTGCAAGTCTTTCATATCGCTAAGAATCTGTGGATGAGAAGCATTTATGTTGAGGTTATCACAAATGTATTATACAGAATAGTATAATATATCTAGAAGCAAATGTTGTAGAAGATCTACACACTATACATGGTTAGGAAGAGTCAATAAGTCGCCAGGGGGGAGAGTGTACCGACCTCAAACCGCCAGGGTGCCATGTCCCAGTTAATCTACTATTTTTATATCTGTGATTGGCCTTCTTGTTTTTTGTTTTTCAATTGGACTGCATCTTTAGTCTACAGGTAAGCCCAGCGTCTTCTTGGTCTGCTTCGCTGCCTACTTCCAGTCAAATATTTTGTGCAGATACTTAGAAACTGAAAATATTTTAACACCAACTGCCCAGATTTCAAAGAGAACGCCCTCTCTCCCCCCCCCCACCCCCCCTAACCCCTTTTCGCCTCCCCCCCCCCGCCCCAATCAATTCACGCCTGCGCGATGTTTACCACATCATCGATCAAGTGCCTATTTGTCCAAAAAATATACGTTTAGCATTGGGGTCAAATACACATATGGAGGACACGGGTGAGGTGCATTGTCTAGATTTTTTCTCCGGGGAAACGCCGTTGTGTTGGGAAATGAAAAGGCGGACAGACTGGCTGGCCTGCACAATTTGGTGGAATACTAATTCATGGAAAGGCAGACGTGGGAGAGCGTTTACAGTTCGGAGGAGCAGATGGATCACCACAGTCTGGTGAGATTGATGCGGCTCAGAGGAAAGGCAAGACCGGCGTTTGATTAGAATGCTACTGGCACCAATAGTATCGGAACTCTGCACTGGCTGCTGAAGATGGGGACGGAGGGCTTATGGGAATGCCCGGAGTGCGGTTATGTCAGTTCTTGAGTCAACTCAACTCATACACAAATGGGCGGGGCGCATTGACTCTTACTTGTATATCTGAAAGAGTCAAAGAAAGCAAAAGTCTAGATGTAGGCTTGTTGGCATTTGTTAGTTTGGTTATCATCTTTGCACTACGGTCATGTCTATAGGTGCTCAGATCCTACCCGCAGTATGAACCTCAGCGTCCGGTGGCTTATACTATCAGTTCTATGTTGTTGGCATTTGTATCGCTTGTTACATCGTGTGAGCCTAATTAATTGTCTCTTTTCGGCGTCTTTCGAACACACTTTCTTCTTCTTCTTCTTCTTCTTCTTCTTCTTCTTCTTCTTCTTCTTCTTCTTCTTCTTCTTCTTCTTCTTCTTTTGTCAATATTTGCTTATGCCGCTAGGCGTCGCAGTTCCTCAGACGATCGGCAGCCGAACCAGGGCGTGCTTAGTCACTTGATATGATGTGTCTCAAGGTGTCAGTGACTCCTTCAATCCA